TTTTTTGGAGATGAGATTTTTATACAAAACAGATGGAACTATAGTCAGATTGTGACATTGTAGAGTTTGTCCCATGATGTAGAAGGAGTGTGCTTTTCATGCATGCTCTGCTACAGTTCTGTGCGGTACTCTGTCATGCCAAAATAACCCTCTTGCACTGATCCAGATGAATACAGATAGGAATCGTAAGCACTCAGCACCTTCAGGGATATGACACTGCAATAATCTCCTCCTCTAGCATAATCATCATAGCTGAACCTCTGTTGGTGTGTTTGCAATTCATCTGTTTCAGCATTTAAATAGTAATTATTAGTGGCATTTTCTTTTGGGTGATCAGCCCAAAGCTGCACTGGAATAGTGTGACCTTGAGCTTTTTTCTACAGACAGTGGAAATTGGTTGATAATGGACAACAGTAATTGCTTGGATGACAGTGCATCTCTGGAACTACATCACCACAATACATCACTGAGGCCAGGAGCTTAGCAGGATTCAGAAAGAAGAGAACTAACAAAATGCAAACAAGATGTTAAAATGCATTAAAAATTGGATGGAGGATAATACAGAGGGTAATTATAATGTAATTATATAAATATAATTATATAAGCACTGTAACTTCATTGGGAACATTGCATTCCGAGCTGTGCTTAAGAGATGGTTTATGGGAAAGCTTTGAGCCATGGGCAATTCTAACACCCAGAGAGATTGTTAAATATTGTTGTTATTTCTCTTTTGGAAAGAAGCAGTTTAAGGAACATCAAATTGCAACACAGGGCTCTTCAGTCAACCTGTGGGCCAAATCTAGCTTGTGAAAAAGTATCCTGCCAAGAATCGACCGACCCTAGGCTGGCTTTCCCTTTAGGATTACTAGGTGAAGTGCCCCACTTGTGATTTGAGACTTAAAAGATCATCTGGATATCTTCCCCCCTTCTTCACAAATAGGCAAGTGATCATGGACATCTATGAGCAAATAAACAGTTTGCTCATCACAGATGCAGAGGAGGGAGAGCAGTTTTCCTTCTTATCCAGTTCCCTCAGACTTTACCTGCAAATGGTTGTAATGCTAGAATGCATGATCTGCAGAAGGTGAATCAAAAGCTTCTGAATAAGTGAAAAACCTTTTAATACCTCCATTTTTTCCCTCAAAGCAAATACAAGGAAATGATTTTTCCCATGTGTAATTCATTGCCATGGGGAGGTGCTGAGCAGAAGAATTCTTCCAGGCTTGGAAAGAAGATGGAAATTTTTATCAAAATTAAGAATATGGCCATTGCTCCTCATTAGTTTTGACACACTTCTGGAGGCATGGTAAAGCTCAAATTGCATTGCTGAAGTCAAATTTTAAGTATTATAGATGCACATAAAAGCTAAGTTGGGAGCTTAGCATCCTTACGATCTTTTATGTTTTTTTGAAATATACCCACTCAATTAGCCCACTGATATGCTCTAGCCAGGTCTTTAATCCTGTGCATACACAGACAAAGACAATTCACATTTACAAATACAAAATTTTGAAATATAAATATTTTAGTAGGAATATTCATCTCTTATCCATAGGAAGCTTTTGATTTTCATTCAGAACTGGCTTTTGGTAGTTGTAGTTACAGGCTTCTTAAGTTTTTATTACCAAATTTGTTATACTTATGTATTCAAGCAATTTGGTATTGCTGTGTCACAGATAATGCTAACAGAATTAACTATGAAAATACAAAAATACTTTATACTTTACATATTGAAAACTAGCTTAATTTCATTTTTGGATGGGGGCCTTCTTCAAGATGAGAAGGAAAGTATATAATTTTTGTTATCCTTTGTTAAATTGTAGTCTTATTTTTTTCCTTTAGAGTTTCTCTAGTAAAAGCAGCATGACCAAAATATTTTTCACTTTTTTTTTTCCTTTAAACTCTCTGACATGAAACTTGGAAATGGATATTATTCTTGCGATGGTTCCATTCCGTGGTTTTATTGCTGGGACAATATTGTTTCTGTTACGGCTAGTGAGTAGCAGTTTGTAGGTGTTCTTAAATAGATCTGATGCATGAAATGGTGATGTTCCTGTGCTTTCTCAGGCTTTGAATTCATTAGAGCTAAGTATTGTCTAATACTAGAGCTAAGTATTTGCTAAATGTCTGGGGAGAGGAGCCACTGCATTGTCACATCTGAATGCTCAAGAAGTAATAATCTATACCAAAAAGGAAAAATGATAATATTGGCATTTTTAAAAGAAAATTATGTTGAGTCCCCTTTATCTCTCTTCTGGGGTTTGCTCTTTTGCTGTTAATGAAGTCAAGATTTTCCGTTTTCACAAGGGCACTTTTCAATGTCTTTGTATTTATGGTATGGTGTTTACCTTGCCTTTGTCAACTGTGCTTGTCAAAGAAGTTCTAAGCCAGAGACTAGAGGTACCTGGAGGTGTGCTGTGTTCCTGCAGTTGAGCATGGGGTCCAGGCTGCTCCCGACTTCTTTGGGACCACTAAGCAGCAGCAATGTATTTTAGTCTAGTGTTGCTTGGATGGCCTAGCTGTTGGAAACGTTAGAACCGTGTTTTCTCCACTATAGCATAGAAATGTCCTGTGAGGTGCACAGATTAAATCTACTCTGCTTAAGAGATCTTGTGTGTGCTGTGGTTGTGCTCCTGCTTTGGCCCTTCAAGGGCTAGGGACAGGCAGGTGCCCTAATGTGAACAAAGGGGACAAGGTGAAAATGTTCTTGTGGTCATCAAAAATCCTTCTCCCATCCTCTTTATCTGTGTTGTCTGTGCTCCAGAATACTTCCTTCTATCAACATCTCCAGGCGTTTATGTTTAAACTACGCTTTTAATCACCAATACTTTAGTTTTTCGGTTTGAAGATGTATTTTGGACCTGACTGATGACCCAGGAAGTCTGGGGCAGGGGAAGAGGGGTAGGCTGACTAGTTGGTGGCCAACTTGTCATTGAGAGTTGCTTTGATTTGAGAACAGCTGCCTAGTTTCACCCCAGCAGTGACTATATTTCTGCACTGGGTAAAGCAATTATTGTCGGTATGCCTTGTAAATTTTGAAAGGCATCTGTTGTTCCTCTGAGGTGAATGGTGAAATGGAAATTGATGCTCATAATAAACATAAAGAAGGCTGCTGGAAAGACTCCTGATCTGTAAGGGAAAAAGTGACATTTTAAGAGCTGTGCTGTGGATCTAATGAGAATTGGTATTGCCTTTTAAAGCCTCTTACTGAGGTTGGAATGAAAGATCTGATAAAGTTGGCTCCATTATGTGATGCTATATTATGTTAAATTTCTGTTTTTATCAAATGTACATGATGGCACAATGAATTAGGCAGTAAATTCTTGCTCCCTGTATCTCATTTTCAGAACAGTGAGGTTTGGGTTTTTGTGTGCTTTGTGGGTGGTTTTTTGCATGGATATGTGGGGCTTGTTTTATGTACACTTTCTTCTGCTTCTAATACAGAAGGGAAAGGAGTCAGAGATTCCTTTTGAAACCTTTTCAGGGTTCAGTAAGGCTTAGATTGGTAAATTCCAAACCTTCATTGGGGATTTTTAGGGCTGCAAAATACCAAGGAAAATATGTACCCTTGTGTTTGTTACAAAGCTTCAGGCTGTCTATAGAATACAATCTTATTGCAGTAATGACGGAGAGAAAGAGGATGAGCATAGGTGGTATTTGAGAAGATTCAAACTACTTGGTAGTTTGCAGCAGGTGTGTAGTTTCAAGTCCAGAAATTTCGCTCTGTAGTTTAGAGACTGTTTTGTGCAAATGTCAGTGGCGAAAGAGTAGGGTTGAAAATAGCTTTAAAGAATTACTGTGAAATTAAAGGACTATTTTGAAGTTGTAATCAAGTTTGATGCATCATGATTATGTTATTGGTAGCAGTTCCTGGCTCATCCAATGTTATTATTGTAGAATCAATGTTTTTCATTTAATGTTTTCTGAATCATTGTGGTCTTCTATAGTGTTTAATTGAATAAAACACAAGATTCGCTTGGAAGAGATGCAGATACAAAGTACTAAATTTCTCAGAGGAAGAATGTTTTCACTTTAACCCAAAACATCAGTTTATTTGCAAATGTAATTGATACTGGCTTGAATAGCATTCCTAGAGTACATTAAATGGGATAGCCATCAAAACAATATTAGATTTATGGCAGATGAGTGTAAATAGTGCAGAATTAACTGTAATGGGTTCTGGACTCTGAATACGCCATCATGTCCCACTATGTATGGATCAGATACTCTTAGTCATGAATGACTTTCTAGATGCCTTTCCTAGGCAAAGGGAAAAAAGCCCTGTACTTTGAACTCCCTAATGTTCATTTTAAACAAGTTATAGGTATAATGCTGAGATGTAGGATAATCCAAAGATGAGGATAAAGACCAGGTGCCGGCTGCAGACTCAGAATTTCGGTACCAGAGCCCAGTGCAGCAAGTAGAAAAGTAATGCTGAGTTCAGGGGACTGTGGTGAGCCCCAGAGCGTGGGAATCTGCATGGGGAACTGTGCCTCTTAAAGCCTTGCTCAACCCAAATGGAGATGTAACGGGCCCAAAAGCTATTGAGGGCTGATGTGACTCATTCAGGCTTTTTGTATCCAGGAAGGGTACTTTGAAATGGTCTATGAAAGGAGAGAGATGTGATGCTGCAGACACAGAGAGTGTGTTGTAGCGCGGGGTGCCTCAGAAGTGAGTAGCAGAGAAAGAAACGTCTGTCCAACACGGACTTAGACAGAAAAACTCACTAGCAGTTAAAATGATCCCTTTGCAAAAAGAAAGCCATGAACTGGGCATATGACAGGCAGAATACTCCTCTTTATATTGCAAGTTATTTTCAGCTGGGGTTGTTGCTGTGTGGAACTGATCTCCAGCCTGAAGGACAGGGAAATCCTGATCTGTGTGGCTCCTGGGTGCTATTGCAGTACAAACAATTAAAAATGAGTTTATTTTCCTTTTAGCATCATTGCAATAAATTCCTAGTATGTTGCCTATATTGATTGCGTGCTACTCTATTGCAGCATTATTTTCTTGAATAGATGCCTTTCAATTTTGACTTCAACTCTCAGAAATGGATTTTCATTTATACTGTGTCTGCATTGCACTTCCCTGACTATGTAAGGAGGCTTTAAAATGGATGTGCATTGCACTTGCAGCCTCTTACAGCTTCTTTACAGAGCTACAGCAACGTCAAGAAATTCTAGTGCCCGAGAGAAGACATGTGGGACTGTTGGAATGGAAGTGCTATCAGTCATTTAAAGCAGTTGGCTATCTTTCATTATAGAACTTTAAAGATCATTTGTGGTGCAAAATTTTGAGAAGTTTCTTTATCTCCCCAAAAGAGGTTTCCTGACAGATAAATTAACGAAGACATTTTCCTCGTTGAAACAAATACTGAATGAAAAGTTGTTCTTGTACCATGCTATTTCTGTGCTATGTGGGTTCCAGTATATCAGCAAAGGTCTCCATCTATCATGAAGTTGTGCTCTACCATCTCTGCCTGTGACTATGCTTACTAACCTATCAGAAGTTAATTTTTAATATAGAGACAATTAAATTTTTAAAAAGGTGTCTTTAAGGAAACCATATGGAATCATCCAACTGTTTTGCTGTGAATTTTTACATATATACCGGTATATAAATGTAAGCAAATGATACTGTGGAGTTTATTTAGCAAAGAAATACAAAGGGAGTTCATTTTTATTGTAATTAATGTCAACCTGATGGACCAGCTGATAAGAAAATTGTCAGTTTATGAAAATTTAATACTGAATGGACCATAAATGTATATTTATATGCTTTCTACTGCTACCAGAAAGATGAGTCAAAAACCTAAGCCTAGTATCTAGCTTGTATTATGAACTACTTTATCAGGCACATGGCATGCTATTGTCAATGCTATATGACATAAAATCAGTTTAAAAAAAAAAACAAAAAAAACTAAACCTTTTAAAACCACAACTGATTTATTTGAAGCTTATATAACTTATAATCATATGGAACCAATCCCTGGTATTTGTGAAGAAAATAAACTTTTTTTTTTTGCGGGGAGGAAGGAAAAACAGTTTTGTTTGAACTGCTTGTCTCCTAACTTTACTTGTAGACCTAATCAGAAATTTGATCTGCTGGTTAGAATTTTCCTCTTTACTTTCACTATTCTTTGACGACTGGAAGAGGCAAAGCTATTACACCAAGTATCCTGCTTAGGTACCCTGTCTGTTGAGGCTTTTTACGATAGTTTCCCTTTCATGCTCAGACTTACGGGCAAGAATGAATGTGTATATTTTCCCCATCAATCTATTATGCTTGCTTCTCGTATTAATCCTTTCAGAGAATCATAGAACCATAGGATCAGTATGGCTGGAAAAGATGTTCAAGATCGAGCCCAACTATAAACCCTTGAAAACCATGCCTACTAAACCATGTCCCTAAGTGCCTCATCTACATATTTCTTGAACACTGACAGTGACTCCACTCCTTACCTGGGCAGCCGGTTTCAATGCTTGATTGTTCTTTCCATGTAGAAAGTCTTCCTAATGTGTAACCTGAACCTCCTTGGACAAAACTTGAGGCCGTGAAGCTGGGGCTTGTTGTCATATAGCCAAACTGCAACCCAAGGTGAAAAGCAGACATCCAACTATTCAGTGGATCACATAATTCTCTGGATTTGTTTTTTAAGGCAGATAGATTTTTTTTTCTTTTTTTTTTTTTTTTTGTCGTTCTGACCACTGGCCAACTTCCATTTTCAATATTCTACATGTCATTATATGCATCCACTTTCCAAACTAGCAGAAGCCTTCATTTATAAAGGACAATAGAAATAGTGTTCATTTGGTGAGTAAATATAGATCTTAAAATTCCTCACTATCCCTAGAAAATAGGTCTATAATACTATCTTGGGGTAATATTTCCGATGTGACTGAAGTCTGCCCAATACTGTTTTATAAGGTCCAATCTGCTCTGCAGAGCAACGCAGTGAAGGGTGTTGGAACTTCTTTCTTCAAGTGTCAGAGCCTATATGGAGGTGTTGTAACTTCTTTCTTTTAAGTATCAGTGTGTGTATATGAAGGTGAACCTTACAGGTTGTAACTATACATATTTCACATTTGGAGAGTTAGACAGAGACCCATGGCCTTCCAGAAAAACACACTGTTAACAGAGAAACCCGATCCAAGTGTGTGATTCTGATATTGATTTAGTATTGCTTCCTGTTGCTGACAAGCCAACAACTTAGATTTCTTCCATGCTTGGTCTTTTGAATAGGCCATGGGTTGTGATACTGAATGTCTTGACTGACAGCATGGAGATGAAGTGGATGAAATTTTTGTCTCTGTGGGCGTTATTGTTGTATTATTTTAGGCTTAGGCAATGACTTGTGGCATTTGCATCTGTGATGTATAGATGACGCAGATCTTTTTGCTGGGTATATCTCAGACATGTATGCAATTGTCTATATGTTATGTATTTGTGATAAATATTTCTGTCAGTGACACTGTCAAACTCAAGTCCAAATTTCATACTTGCATGATTTCCCAAGGGACATACATTTGGCGGTGGGGAGAGGGAAAATACCTATTATTGCATGGTCAAGTTTTTGGAAGGAGGTACTGCAAAATTCTAGAATTTCCTGTTAGTCTCAGATACCTCAAATTCCTGTCCTTGTGCTACCTTCTAAATAAAGGGAAATGACCTTTTCTGTATGAGATAATTTGGAAGTGTGCATGTACAACTGTACACCACTTTGAGATGTGTGTGTGGGGTTTTTTTTTTTTCTTTTTCTGCCTTTAAAATGTGGAACAGGAAGGTTGCAGGTGTCACATCAAGCAACAAAACATTGTCTCCAGCAACACTATTTTCAAACTCATGAGCTTTACAAAAGAGCTGTTTTTGTTGATTTGGATTGTAAAGAGGAAAGTAAAATTGAGTACATCTCAGTAAGTGATAAATCTCAGTATGTGATAATCTTTGGAGGCTACCATGTATTTTAGTGTTAATTACAATAAAACAGTGAAGCCGTTCTCAGAATTTGTTAGCCTGGCACATTCTACTGGAATAATCTCAGTTTACTGACGAGATTTAACTCAGTGACTTGATGAATGGTGTTTATCATGTCTGGAACTCTATAGCAGCATTTAGACATCCAGAGCAATCCCTGTACCCAAATCACTGCCACTTGCTCTCAGTGCTTCATCGTTTCTGTGCCAGGATTGTTGGTCCCAAAGTAACCAGCGTATGGGGTGGGAAAACACAAGGAGATGTCTCAGACCTCACAAGAGACTCCATCCTGCCTATGGCTCTGAGACATCCCATTCTGCTGATGTTATTTTTGTGCCACCATCATTCCCAGAGTTAGTGTGGGCATGTATGAGAGCAGGACAAGAGACTGCACTTGAAAGGGCTGAACCAGCTTCCAGAAGGGAGAAGTTGGAGCAAAATCCATTTTTTTTTTTTCTCTTTAAAGACATGAGAACTTTTGTGCTTCCTCTTCTTGTTGCACGCTAAGTTTGCTGCCCATGCTGTAGCACTGCCCAAAAGCCTGGAGTGATGTTGTTCCAGGCCAGCCACATCGGGACGAACATCAGGAAGGGAGGGTATCATATCAGAGGTCTTTTGCTGTGTTCAGGGCCCATCATTTTTTAAGATTTCAGTGGGAGTTAAAGGTTGCCTAGGTCTAATATGATATTTCTGCCTAAATTTTGATGTGGGAGCTTCTCCTGAGATGCTAATGGATCAAATAAATGGGTGAGAACAGGACTTGGTTAATTCTTTACTTATTTGACTTAACTTTCTTACTTTTTAAATTTCCATATTGTATTTGTTTGTACAGCATGCAGAAAGCTTTCTACTTTCTATACTTGTTTCATATGAGTTGGGAATGTGATTTGACAAAATACCCTCAGAAGTGAGGGGAATTCTGCTGAAATGGTAAGAACAGATACATAGTGCTACTGCATCTTTGAAAAGCAAATCTTCAAAGGTGGTCCAAGTGGCAAATCAAAACTGCTGACCTTAAAGACAAGGTATTGCTCGGTTTCTGCTAGTTTATCATGAGGAAAGTCGACTAAAGAGGTTGCACCAGTGAGAGGTTGAATCTCTGTTCATTCTCTTTCATCTTTTTTGTTATCATTATTTTTATTTTTTAATTTTTTTCCTCCTCTCTCCACTCCACCTTTGGATTAAAGATGTTTCTGAGCATTCTGGGTAGACTTTTCCAACTGGATTCTTTTCCATAAATAGCATTTCCACTAGAGGGCATTCAAAATACTGGTAACAAGTTTTAGTTGTCATCTACTTTAATAAATATATTGTGCAATATATACTATATAGAAATATGCACTAAGTGTAGGTACTAAAGCATTGTAAGGGAAAGTTGCTTATTTTATCTAGCCAGTGAAGTAGGATTACTCACTAGTAAATTTATCCAGCCAGTGAAGTAGAATGGTGCTTTCTGCCTCTTCCTCATATCTTCAATGACTTGAAAGAAGGAGTCTGAAAATATTTTGTTTTGTCTTCTCTAGTAATAAAAAAAAAAAAAAAGCATGTTGGAAGTCCATGCCTGCTTTGGAGAAGACTAAGTATCTGTTCTTGTTGTTCAGACTCTAGAAAATGCTATTTTGGTGTGCTGGAAAAGCTTATCTACCGTCGAGCTAGTAGGAATGCAGCAACATATGTTTACCGTAACAGCTTTCATTTCAAGACATCTACAAACACTTGAGAAAAAACCTGCACCAGGATACCAATGTTTGGAGCCATCACAGCCCACATCAGTAACTCAGGGCAGGGAGTGTGGGAGAACACCGCAAACCATCCAGCTCCAGCAGGCAATGTGGGTAGATTCCCACAATAACACCCTGGCACTTCCTGGTGTTATTCCAAAACATTCTTGAGAAGTTGTCATTAGGCTACCATGTGTTTGATGGATCACTGCTTGTGGGGTCCCCCAGCATCCCATCTTTGAGCTCGTACCCTTTGCTGTAGGCTATAGCAGGTCAGCCCTGCCAACCCTGCAAGATCTGATGGTGACAGCTGTCCTGTTTTATCTTCAGAAACTGAGGACATTTAGTCCTTTTGCCAGCATCATTTGTGAGACCTCATCAGATGTGGTGGTATAACTTGCAATTGAATGTAACACTTGTAAGATGAATGTGTATTATATGCATTCATCTACTTTGAGTGTCAGTATTTTGCGCAACTCCACTATTCAAAGTATACGGATCATGTTGTAAGTTCAACTATTTTTGTCTT